AAAGCTAGTTTACAGTTGGTTTGCAAATTTTCCAAAGCAGCCTGGTACAAGATCCGATTGACGACGTCCGGTCGCAGAAACAAGGGACGCATCGGAAAACCCCCCGCATTAGGCAAGCCTAGCAGAGCCAAGCTACGTGCAAGGTTGTTAGGAAACGGATCGACCGGGGCAAGCGCATCTTGGCAGATGACCGACACACGCCGAGCAGCGGAAGCAAAGAAGATCGCTCTCTTCCCAGCCAACTCTTTGGCGCCATCAGCATCAGCCGCGCACAGTTCAATATGTGTACTGGCCTGGAAATCCAGGGCCAACTCAAGCCAGGTGACATGCTCACCACGGCGAGCGTTCAAGTCTCCAGTTTGTGGCCACTTTAACTGCCGAAAATACCATATCAGGGGTGCAAACAGGCGTCGTTCAGGATATCTCCATCGCAGGTCTCTGGCGCCAGCTTTTTGTTGGCCGCGTTCCTGGTCATCAGGTATTTTGTGACGCGCACCTTCCGACGCACGCCACGCAAAGCCCGGGAATGCCGCCTGCTGGGCGGCCATGGCAGGGTCAGCATCATCAGGGGGGTTTTCCTGTTGTGCGGGGGGTTTAGGGGGCTCAACAACCTTACCTAAACCCTGGGTCTTAATGGCGGCATCCCGCGCAAGCGAACCAGGGTGTGCTGCAAACAGCGGATGCGCTGAGCCTCAGGTTGGTGATGTTTCACAAGGTCCGGCGGGAGCTGATTACCTACCGCACCTGCAACCGCCAACTTGTCTGCAGCATCGTTGTAACACTTGTGCAGCAAGAGTTGTGCATCTCCTTGACACTGAGCTACCGTACTGTGACCTGTGACCTTAGTCACTTTGAGGCGGTATTGAGGACTGTGACGCTCCCAATCTTTCTGGATTCGCTGCCAGAGGTCAAGATGGCATGACATCCTATGCTCACCAAACGCAGCAAGGTTGCTGAAGCCAAGGAGCACGGTCTTATTATCTGTTAGAAGTTCCTGGTTGCCCCACACCCAGTGAATCCATCGAGCAGCTGCCCGGATTTCGGCCCGAGTGGAGGTTTGACAAGCAGTGGCAGGAGCAAAACTGCAGTTAAGTGGATGATTATCACCGTAAAACAACCCACAACCTGCACGGCGCAGTCGAGATTCCTGCTGCTGATTGGGACAGGCACCATCAGACGCCACAAGGGTGTAACAGTGTCAGGCAGTGGACGGGCGGTCTCAGGGGGCTCATCTGTCGGTGGCATAGGCAGTGCGTTGAGCTGCGAACTTTCCGGAAGGATACCGCAGCATGCTTCACACATTATGGCAGGGACTCCGTATTTCTTGACGTAGGGAGCGCGGAATTTCTCCCAGGCAGGACACTGCCAGTTGATGTGCATCATGGTTTCATCGCCAGTTTCGCAAAAGGGACACGTGGGATGAGCTACCTGCTCCATCCTCCACCGCCGCCTCCAAGTGAAAATGGAGTCGGTAAGGAGCTGTCGCAAGATAGCCCGCGCTGCACCCTTGATTTTGAGTTTGAGGAAAGGGGCAAACTCATCATCTTCTTCCGGTGCCATTTCCGTACCATCATCTGGGTCATGACATGCGGACGTTTGGGCCTTCAACAGAGCAGTAGTGGCATGAATGTTCACGCCTGCCTCTGCTCCATCAAATGACTCACGCCATGTGGACTGTTTGCTTCCCTTACGCCTAGCTTCTTCACACCAACGCATTTGGCGAGTAGCGTTGCGCAGGGTATGCTTCCACCAGTCATCCTCCTGGGTGAGCCAAGAGAAGGACGAGCCGTTGGCCATCCGAAAGATGAAGGGATCATCATTCCATGTCCATTGCATTTTGTCCACTAGGCACTGGATGCGATCCAAGGGAAAGACACCTTTGTGGCCGGGACATTGGCCTCGCTTTGGCCATGAGATCCTGCAAGTCGGGCCGTCTGCGCAGGACACGTCGCAAGGTTGCCAAAGGGTAGTACACAAGGTTTTGCACAGGATCCGTGCGGGGCCCCTGACCTAAGCAAACCATCGTTGCAGCCACGTGCCTAAAGCGTCGACGCGCGCCAAACAGAGCATACATGTGTGCCTTGGAGAGCTTGGCAGCTTGCCCGCAGGTGGGATGTGCCAATTCTGTTCCAAAACCAAACTGCACAGCACTAGTGCATCCTAAAGCCATCACTTTGGCATCAAGAGGCAAGGGCAGGTCACCTATCATAAAACATGAGGCAGCGGCTTTTTCAAGCTTAGGGTTGAAGTACGCTGTGGCTTCACACTTTCTTGTGTGCAACAGTCCGCCTACTATGACCAGTTGGCTACGCACTTCAACATCGTATCCCTCTTGTTGGAGCACCTGAGACAACGCAGCACGCTGGGCACAGGTGAGCGCCAACCCTTTGGTTTTGGAGAGATTCAGTTGGCACCCACTCAAGCGATCAAACTCAGAGGAAACTTTGAAGCCTCGAGTGAGCTGATCGAGCCACTGGGCAGGCGCACGCTCACCAGCAACATCACCGCAGGAGTCACCCGCACGGAAATTGCTGTCACCGATGAAACTGCTCACAACGACACCGGTTTCAGCTACAGCCCTAGTCCAGACTGACATAACTGCCAATGCCACCTGTATACTAAAACTGTCACCTTGCACATAGCTGTTGCAGCGGGTTGATGTTTCGGAAAAGGCTGCCCCAACTTTGAAACGATTTGTCATGTTGGCAAGAAAACGCTTTTCTGCATTTATAATTGCAGCAGGAGCACCGAGAGCGATCATCAACCCTTCACAGATTTCCCACTCAAGCAGGTCAAAAAACTTTTTTCTATCCATAGATATAATGCCAAAAGACTCACCCCGTCGGGCATGGAGCTCCATTTCAAGGGCAATCTGAAGACTCACATCGTGGACCTCTTTGTTTTTCCTAGCACCACACATGGAGTCGGGCATCCATGCTTCACGCCAAGAACTCATATCTTGAAAACGTACACTACTGTACAATGTTTTCCAAGGAGATAAGTTGGTAATTGGGCGGGTATCAAGGGCTTCTTGAGTGACTATTTCACAAGGCTCGCAATTTTCACCGTTTTCGTCGGCACCTTTCCGGATGCAAGAGACCGTGCCAAGTGTAAGAACTTCCGGCCAGTCATCTCCAGCCTCGATGTCACGGTAAAGCGAGGCAGCTATGTTTAGCAATGAGATGGGAAGGTCCTTCATCTCAACCGCACGTGTACCACATGAAGCTACAGCTCGCGTAGAGGACATTTTCTTTAAACACTGCTGGAGTCGCACACCGGTGAGGTCTGGTACTTCACATTTGTGGCATGGTATGTGACTGGCATAACGCTCTCGGAATGCGGACCACTCACAATGACGCTCCTTGTTCCAAAGGGTGCCCCAAGCATCACTCAAGGTTTGCAAGATATGTTCTACGTTAGTAGCAACTTGGCCGGATGCATCTCTGATGGATTGAAGCGGTGCAGGCTTGGCTTCATGCAGCGCTTGAAAGACAGCTCGTCCTCCCGTAGCATAGCTGCGTCTCAGCTTGGTGCGGAAATCCTGAGCACGCGCGCATGCATTCTCTCGCTCAGTATCGAGACGGTGAGTGTCAAGCATCTCATGCAAGAAGTGCAGAAGGGGAGCATCTGGCATAGGGGAATTCCAAAAAGGGAAAATTGCAGACTTTAGCAGTTTGCAAGAGTCATAAGCAACTTGTTTCCACAGCTTTTGGCAGTCCATTTGGTGCAGCAGCGATACGTGACCGATCTTGTGGCGCAACTCACGGAGTCGTCGCATGATGCAAGCCAATTTACGCAGATAGTTAGTGCCAACACTGTCTGGAGTCTCTACACTCTGGACATACACAGGCAGGGTAGCGACACGACGGAGTTGCATATCGGGTCTTGTGAGGCGACCTCCACTCCCCCCTTTCGACAGGGAAGAGCCACATCTCAACTCCTTATCCAAGACCTGACCAAACATGCGCCATTTGGTATCAGATCGGCTACCCTGCAACAGAGCCAAGTCAAAGCCTGTGAAGCGTATGGCTTCCTCTGCAAGAAAATTTTTAAGCTCATCATCCGCAGGGGGCAATTTCTCAATGGGAAAGGGCTTGGGAAGGATGCGTGCAAGGAAATTTTGACGCAAGACGCGCAAATCAAACCTTACTTGCAGGAATAAATGGTTTTTAATTGAAAAATCCCGCCTAACGCAGCACTCAACACAGGCCTGACGCGCTGCTAGTCGGGGCGGCTAGACCCTTGACGTTGATGACCATCCCATTTGGGGCTGTGATCTGGGCCTTCAGGTCCTGCAAACAAGGCCGCGGCATCAAACCACTGCTCTGTTGCCAAATGGTCTTTAACCGCTTTATGGTCACAAGCATAATTGGCATCAGTGCATACAGCGACAGGGACATCCCCCCAACGCGAGGCTTCCTCAAATGCTGAAAAGAAAAGTCGCCTCTTCTCAGTCACCTGGATGGCATTAGCTGGGTGCGAGATTCCATAAAAGTTAACCACGTGGAACCAGTCATGCCTGCAACGCTGATTGGCATCCAGTTTGTTTAAGGCTATGGCATGCCGCGTCCAGCACCCGGACTCTTTGAGGAACTTAGTTTCAGGGCACGCTGTTCCACAAGTGTGCAGAGGATACTTGGAAAGCGTAGCAACATAAGTCGCCTCAGTACTTTGAAGAGGAGAGCATCGCACATGACGCTTGGCATGTGATGCACGGCTTTTGGCTTGAATTCGCCTTTGCGGCACAACCTTCCCTAATTCGATGTTCCACCCATGTCGGCGGGCAGTGGCTGCCGCCTTGATCGCACCAGTCTGCGAAACACGGGCTTCCTGCATACACACTACATCAGCAGAGGCCTGAGCAAGAACTGCCTCAGCCCTTTTATGGAAACTTGTGACATTACCAGACAAGATGGTGAACATCATCATTGCTAGCAACAGGATCCAAAGACATGCGGGGAGGATTGGTGGCAGGGCGCAACATCGCCGAAGCCTGCACTTCACCCTTGCGTGCGCGCCGCCTTGCGCTGGAGGGTGTCCAGCGTAAGCTGCTCAATCTGCTGCTGCATGGTGGCGTGAATGCTAGCCTGATCCTGCTCATACTTCTTCATCAAGCTATCTTGGACCTGGCCTACCATGGTTGTAACCTGTGCAGTTAGCGCCTGCGTCACAGAACTGACAATGGCCTTCTGGAGGGATTCTACCCCAAGAGGCTCCGGCGGGGACGAGGTGTCCATGGCCGTGGAGGCCGGGGTAGGAACTTCACTGGCCGCACTCGTGGGCTTGGGGCCATCTTTGGCGTACGGGCGGATGGTGGAAATGCGACCTTGGATTTGCAAAAAGGTGTGGGCAGGCTCCGTTGTTGCCCTCACGAGCGCCTTCTTCCACGGGGACTGCTTGGTGCCACACGTTTTGACACGGACGACCTCCGTATCCCAGTGCACCTCTTTCTGCAAAAGGCTTACCAAGTCCTCTGCAGCTAGGGATCTTGGCAGCTGGTCAATCTCGTACATGGACTTGCCGGGAACTGTACGCGAGGCAATCAACTTCCAGGCAGCATCCTCCAACGACTTGGGAACTCTTGCAATCAGTGAGTGGCCATCCCTTTTGAAGTACAGGCCTTTGTGGCCCTGAAGCTGCTTGAGCTGCTCCAGCGCTGTATCCAAAGGGACAGAGTGAGGGAACGGCGCTTTGGATTCTTCAACCTCTTCCTTGTCGTACTGCGCCGTGTTTCCAAAGGAGGTCCTACGGAACGCCACACCATCCACGCCACTGCATTCACGCAGTTTGGCAACAAGGGCATCGCTTGCACGAAAGGTGGCGGTAAAGGTATCACCTTTGAACAGTGTGTTGAGCTTGGCCCCATACACGCTAACATTGACAGCCTCAGGGCCACCCTTGGCCCGAATCTTGCCGTCATTTCCTCATTGAGAGCTTGCCATGGCTTTTTGCCAAGTTTTTGCTGTTGCTTCTTCCATTCTTCATGCTCACGCGACATGACAACGCTCTTCCAAGCCTGAGACAGTCGGCCCCACAGCTGGCTAGACGCATGATTGCACGCAACATCGACTGCAACAATCGTGGGCTGCTGGGTGGTGGACCAATTAACCTCAAGAGGAACGATCAAGGATTTGACCTCCTGAGCGCCGATCTGCCACACGAAACCTGTTTCGACATATGTGCCAACACCTTTCATGACAGGGATGCTGCAAGGCACCGGGTTAATGTGGTGCTGCTGCGCTGAGCTCAAAAGGCTGTCTGAAGGCGTGCCCAAGAAAAGCACTGCCAGCTTCCCTGCAAAGGTGTAGCCGTCAAACAAGCCACCGGCCACAAGCGCCTCAGCATCAGCACTGTTGTTTGCAAGATACACACCTTCAACTCCACGAACCGGCGGGGCAGTGAGGATGGGTGCATTCCAGTGGGCGGCATCTAGCTTACGCTTTGCAGCGAGATTGGCCTCTCGCTTCGCGGCCTTCACTTTGCGACGGCTGAGAACCGGCTGAAACTCTGCTTCTGCTTCATCTGCACGTCCTGCTGGCGGACGTGGAGGCACAAGGCTTGCATCGTTGGACTCGGAAGTAGGGCGCTCCTGACGCCATTTCTCTATGGCAGGAAAGATCTCATGACAGGGCATGCTTGCAATCTCATTCATTCGTTTTGCGTTCTTGTGACGCAGTGTGTCGTATGTATGGCTGGCCTTTGGCATCTGCTGAGCTTCAAGCACAGACACAACCTTCACCTTAGTCATGTTCGGCGTGGGAGCCTTCTTGAGCTTCGACCCGGCCCGGATTTTGGCAGGGATGTTTCCATTGGTGATGTGCATCTGGCGTTGCTCCTCCCTTTGATTGCGGAGGCGGAAGTATGCAACTGCCTCTTGAAAGCACTGCATACCTATCCCATCCCCATAGCCTTGACGACGCATTCAAACTTCCCCTTGAACAATGCGCCAAGACTCCCTAGCAAGTCACCCCACTTGCTAAACAAAATAGTTTGCGCACACTCCGCGGCATCCGTTGATGCCGTCACCACTGCCATGACACTCACCCACTGTGTCTGAGGGCGGTACGCGTCCTCAGCCAGGTGAGGGCTGAGGTAGTGGCTCTGCCCAACAATGCGCAGCTTGAGCCGTTGGGCAGAATGGAGGTAGATGAGACACAGCCCTGTGGCTCACTTCCGGCCTCGCCTTGGAGCTGCTCGCTGGATGGCTACATCCCCTGCGGAGCCAGATGGCCTGGCATGTTCGGTATGCTGTGCGTGTCGGAAGACCAACTAGAGGCCAACGGAGGTCTGGTCATCTTTTTCCCTGACACTCAGGAGCTGAGCCGGCAACCGCCAGCAGCGTACTGCCTCCCGCCCACACTGGCTGCCACTACGCAACTGGTGCAGTCGGCTCTTGCTGATGCGTTCAAGCGAATCATCATGCCCAGTGGGGTGCCCGCCCCATTGCCTGGCACACATGCTGAAGTAACGCTTGACCGAATCCACCACTTGCAATGCCTTCGCAACACCCCCTTAGCAGGCACACAGGCTAGCCAGCATTCGGACTTTGTGTTTGCTTGGGCGTTACTGGGGCGTTATGCGCATGAGCTTGCGTGGCGGCAGGCAGATCTTAGGGCCAGTCGACCTGAGCCGTGCATCTCCTTTGGGACGTCCAGGGTGGAGAAAGTGAGAGGGGTAAGGACATGGGGACAAGGGCCGTATGAGCAAGGCTTTTTGCCTCTGCTGGTAGGGTATGGCGGGTTGCATTCCCGCATGGCGATCCTGCTGGGACCTGACTTGTTTATGGCGAACCGCTTTGCTGACGGCATCCCCCCCCCTTTTGTTCATGGGTACGGTGTCAAAGGTAAACACATCTTGCAGCAGTGGGGGGAGATACAAAGACTTCCTACCCTCCCGGACGCCATCTGGGGCAATGGTGCTAAGGTGCCGCTTTGGGCCGCTACCGACCAAGCTGGCTGTGGGCCGGTCCGCTTCCAGCTCTTCCGGGCGTATTGATGCACTGGAAAAGGGAAATCCTTTCATCTTGCTCGGGGTCGCCCAAGTGGCGCAGCCGGCCTAATACTCCGAAGGGCAGCTTGCGATCTTGGCCTGTGCGGTTCATGCCTTCTTTATGCAGGCCGATGCACCATGGCTGCTTTTCGCCCTGGCTCAAGCCACCATCTCAGGTCTCAGGAGGCACTGGGATGAAAGCCTCGCCCTTAGGGTGCAACATGCTATCCACGCCTTCGGCTTCCCTGCGTACCAACACCCGCCTCCGGCTCCACATCTTACCCCATCCGGCGAGTTTCGGTCGGTTTTTGTTAGCGGGATGGGTGGAAGAGGAGCAAGTGCGCGGGCTGCTGTCACTGGCAGCATCATCCACACCGCCAACTCATACGCGGTAACAGGGTTGGAAATGGAGCAGGTCCAAGAAGGCCAGGGTAAGCAAGCAAGGCTTGACATATTTGTTGCTCTCGTCCAGCGGCAATGCGTCCCATGCCCTGTTGCTCCTGCCACAAGCTCGCCAAGTCTGGGCTACCGCTCTTTACCGGTTGTGGGGAGTAGCTTGCTTGCTTCCGTTAAGGCCCGAATAGGAGCAGTAGAAGCAGCTCTCACAATGAAACCGGCGCTTGCCCACTTGCACATGCCCCACAGCGCAGCGCAAACCGCCATGCATGTAGGCCTGGGTGCGGTCAGAGCCGGCGAGTGCAACCTACGCATAAGAGGCTTCTCCGCCGGAGCATACACGGGGGCCGTCCTCGCGATAGCCTGGCACGAACGCCAGCGATTCCGGAGCTGCACAGGTGACTTCTTCCCGATCGATTGGGAGGCATTGCTATGCCCCGGGCGATACTGCGGTGTATCCTGCAGTCTGAGCTTCGACATGGTGTCAGCTTCGTTCATCACCAGGGGGACCAATTGTGCATTTTCCGACCTTGAAGCGCGAATAAAAGCTATCCGGGAGGGAACGCGTCTTTACTTCTTCTCGGAGGTTGATGGGCTTGGCACTGGAGGACATTCTTACGGGCACTTTCTGGACTGTGAAGAGTTGTTCCGGCTTACCCCGGGCGATTACAGATATAGTGAATTGACCAAGAGGATTGGTGGGCTTGCTGACCCATATGTGGAGAAAGCTGTCAGATCTTCGTTGATGGGCGTAGCCTGCGCCTCGATCCAATTGAACGAACGATCCAAGGCGTTTGTACAGTCCATGTTGGGGCGGCAGGTAGCCAGGCAGACATGGAGCATTTCCTCCAGGTGCAGCCACCGTCCAAGCCAAGCGTGATGGAGCTGAGAAAGGCATGTTCCGATGCCCTTCTTGGGGAATTGAAGCCCCACATGACTGACCTCCCGCAGCCTTTCCACGACCTCGGACCCACCATGAAGCTAGTGCTAGATATGTGGTTGCCGGGTCTGGCGTTGGAGCGGCTCATTGGTATGCTAGGCTACCAATTCCTGGCCATGGCTTCAGAGGCTGAAGTGGAGGAAGAACCCTCTGAGCAGTTCCACTATCCTCAGAAGGCCGCCGTCAAAAGAGCAACCAGGCCAGTACACGTCAAACCAGGCTCCAACACTTGGCCCATAACCTTACTGCACCGGATTTATCCTCACCGGCGTCCCTGAGAAGCACAGAACGGTTTGCGGTCGCAGGCAAAGTGCCGTCCAGAGGAAGCGCTGTGCTGGTCACCTTGCGGTCCGAGTGCCTAAAGCTCTCTGGTTCTCTGCAATTCGTTGACCTGGAAGCAATGTTAGGCAGCAATGCACCACAACTTGACCTGGCCTCCCTCAAGGATTCCATTGTAGGGTATGGTTTCCTCACCACTGCGCAGTACATCGCTGACCTGTTTTTCGCTGTTGCCGACATCCCGGGCGTTCGTAATCAATGCACAGTTCCCCGCAATGCTGTGTTACAGTGACCCGGACTGCTGGATAGGGGCCCTACTGCTGGCGTTTGAGGCTCACCAGAATGGGCCCCCTGGACGTGCAGCTGGCCTACCTATAGTGTTGGGATTCCCGAAATCCGAGCAACGCATCACGGACCTCCAGGTCAACGTGCCCCCGGCGGCAACGGTCGCGCTTTTGGCTGGTCGGGCATATCAAAGGCCCACCTGCCCTGAGACTGCATACGAAAGGGATAAAAAAGGCTTCCTTATGGTGCAAGGACAGGTGCAGGAGTCAAGCTTGCGAGAATGGGCGGCGCGCTCCAGGAACATGAATCTGGAGGCGGCCAGAAAGAGGCAGGTTCCGACAATTAATGCGTTTGTGAGGGTCACCTTGGAAGGCTCGCGTGCGCTTGGGCATAGACAATGTCGCAAGTTCAACCCGACAGACCCTCCGATGCATTTTCTTGATGCCATCAGACAGGCCCTTTCGGCGTCAGTGGCAAGCCAGCACCTGGAGCACTTTTGGGCGGCCTATAACCTGGAGTGGCCTGATATTACGGCACGTGCCAATGTATCGTTTCGTCGTGTCCTCCCATTGCAGGGGCTTCTCCATATGCCACTTGCCACGGAGCCCTCCGCGGCACCTCAATGTCCACGGCAGCTCCTCCGAGTCGGAAGACATCAGGCCAACGTCCTCCGGAACCGCAAGAAATGGAGGATGCTGCGCCGCAAGTAAGGGACTGGCGCTTTTCGGAACTGCGCACCACTGACCTAACTGCTTTGCGAGAAGTGGACGTCTGCATTCCCTTCCGATTGCCGGCTTTTGAAGATGACCACTGGAACCGGCTTGTGGCACCCCCAACCATGCGTGGGCCCAAGCACGCCCGCAAAGAATGGTACGACGCTGCTGAGCTGCTACGGCGCACTGGGCCGCTATCAAGGGGCTTGCCCGGTCGAGACACCCCACAAAGCAAAGTCTTAAGCTTTTGGTTCAAGATGTATTGCCATCGAAATCCCACAGAGCCAGAGCCCTCTGCTCTCAAAGTCCTTCCCTTACAGGCATAAGGATGACGGAGTAGTCCAGTACGAGCAAATAAATGCGGCCGCTAGAACGCTGTGGCACTCTGCCAAAACAAGAGTGGCCCAATTGTCGTCTGTGCCAATTCCCAAAGGCATCGCGCCTTGGGGAACGGACGCGGAGAATTTGCTGGGGCATGTGGGAAGTACGTCACAGGATCCCAACTGGGACCTTGCACAGTCGTCCGTGGCGGCGGCCCCAGCACGGGTCGTGGCGGAGCTACGCTCTCGAGGGTCTGGACAGAGTCGACAGGCAGATAGCAGATGGGATGGTCCCTGGCAATGATAGGATAACTGCGTCATCCGTATCCAGTGCTTGCTATGGCAAGAATGAAAGCATCTGATGCAACATGAGCTGTTAAGAGCGATGGAATCGGTAGCCTATTGGCTACTCTTGGACAGCCCCGCTGGCTGATCACCATAGGGTAGGAAGATTCAGTAGGGCGAACACCCGACCCCTCACTGACTGCGGTGCGTGCACCCTCGGCTGATCGCCATGGTCAGTCGGCTGTGGCCTATACGGAAGACCCCACTGGCTGATCACCATGGGGCAAATTGGCCTACCCTCCCTGTGGGAGGGGTAGGCACCGGTGGTATTGCATGTCTCGGTTACTACAACAGTCAAACTTCGGCCGCTGCAGCATTTCGAGTAGACCGCCCGAACTTGGAATGTCTGCCAAGACTGCTGCGAGCATGTGAACACCCAACCTGCAGGCTGCCAACTTATTCAGATGATTGCGTGATGGTGGTTTTTGTTCTCTGTTTTGCGATTCCCCCACACGACTTGGTGCTGCATTGGCTCTGAACAGGGACTACATCGACGAGCTTGAGTATTGAGCGCGTGGGGTCTTCTTAGTAGTTTCGCTGCCCTTCTTGGTTTTTTGTTTGGTTGTGGTGTTGCTGGTTTGGTTGGCTGGGTTGTTTCTCCTCCTTTGTTTGTGTTGTTTCTTTCGGGCGACTTGTTTCACTCCTAGTTGCGAGA